AGTGTTCCTGCCATCTGGGTAACTCCTCTTTCTCTTGGGAAGTGTCCCTTTAATTCTCTGCATAAGGAGAGGCCCTCTTTTTTTTTTTTTTGGAGACAGAGTCTCACTCTGTTACCCAGACTAGAGTGCCGTGGTGTCAGCCTAGCTCACAGCAACCTCAAACTCCTGGGCTTAAGCAATCCTTCTACCTCAGCCTCCTGAGTAGCTGGGATTACAGGCATGCACCACCATGCCTGGCTAATTTTTTCTATATATTTTTAGTTGTCCAGCTAATTTCTTTCTATGTTTAATAGAGACAGGGGTCTCACTCTTGCTCAGGCTGGTCTCGAACTCCTGACCTCTAGCGATCCTCCCGCCTTGGCCACCCAGAGTGCTAGGATTACAGGCGTGAGCCACCGCGCCTGGCCAGGAGAGGCCCTCTTGCTATTTACTTCCAAAGCAACCTCTGTGCGTGGCATTAGGGCTTCATAGTACCTGCTAAACTCATGTTTGGATGAATGATCTGCAATTACTCATCTGAAGCATGTACTCTATGCTGGACTGGAAGTTCGATAAGCACGTGGATTAGGCTTGTTTTAGTCACCTACATATAGCCTAGCACCAGCATATATAGAGAAAGCTGATGATGACTTGTATTTTATATGAACTGCATTACTGTGAAAAGCTTCATCATAAACAAAACTTAAAGTTCTTGACTATTCGAACTTGAGTCTTTGCACTGAATTGTGCCTTTCTTGGTTTGTTTATTTTTGTTATAGTTACATTGTTCCTTTCAATAATTCTCCTAACAGCTAATGAACAAGTCTGTATTTAATTTTTGATTAATTAAAATGCTTTGGCAGATTTACATTCAAACCCTCCTGTTTCAAATATGTTCCTGCTAATCAAAAAAATTCTTAGAAGTAAAAGGAAAAAAAAGGAAAAAAGGAGATTTTATCGACACTATTAATTTCCAATGGCCAAAATACAATTTCCTTCCCCTTTGTGCAAATCAGTTACTGACTTTTTTGATAGAAATACATTCTAATTTCTGCAGAAATAGCAAAGAACTATGATACTTGGCATTTAGCTCCAGAAAGAAAACCAGCAGAGGGAGCATAAGAACTTAAAACTAGTTTCCTAAATCTCTACGGATTAGAAAATGTTACATTTTGGCCTCTGGGCATGACTATTAGGCCAATTCCCTCCTTAACCCCCATGTTCGTATGACCTCCTATACTGTGAAAGAGTGATGGGCTATGGCGCTGGACACATACCAAAGACTTAACCTGCTTCTGAGTTTGGATCTAGAGTGCTGAGAGCTCAAGACCACTCCTTAATGGATCTAGGTTTACCTTAAGGTCTTTGATTGGGCCTTAAAAAAACCCCTTTCCCAGAACTGTGTCTGCTGAGCCTGAGATCACCCAGGTCCCCGAATGGGCCTACCACGTAGGGAGAGCTCACCAATATGTCTGAATCACCATGGACTCTCTTAGATGTCCTTGCTCTAGCTTCAATGCATGAGTCGTGCTATAGCCAGATTACTGATGGACAGATACTACTCTCAGGAACAGTAACAACAATGAGTTAAATATCTGACCCGCTACATTTGCCTTCCTGTTAGTGACCTTCCTGGGCCATGTCCTGTTTTCCTCAAAGCTATTTCTTGATAAAAATGAACTGAAAATGCTTTAAACTCTTGGAGAAAGATAAGACACAATGCCAAAGTAATGTTTTATATTAGGACAAGCCTGCAAAACATGAGATCTTTGAGCCACATATGGCTGGCAGCACAGTGGTTAGAAGCAGCTACTGACCCCTTTCCTGACCTCGAGGCAACAACATATTATATAGAACTCAGGGGACTCCCATTAGCCACTCTACGGTGAGTGCCTGAGTGCCGAGGAGTCGAGAGGTCAGGCTGAAAGCCACCCGTGCCAAAAGCGAATCTGGAAACCTCCAGTCCATCATCAAGCCTGCTGAGTGCACTTCCTAGATTTTACCTTGAATCTGTCCACTCCTCGCTTTCCCAATGCCACTGTCCCATTTCAAGGGACAGTTCTCTACTAGTGTTCCAATTACACTCTCTACTGCCAGAACAATCTTTTAAAATCCAATTAGGTTAACTTCTTTTTTTCAAACTTTTAATGGCTTCTCACTGACGTCAGGATAAAGCCAGAGATGAGCCTCTGAGATCTGAAGTGACCCTCGCTTCCTTTCTGGCTGTCCCTCCACCCCTGCCTTCCCTCTTCCTCCCTTGTGCCCCGTGTTCCAGCCAAAAAACAGTGACTAGCAGCTGCCCAGAGTGCCACGCTGTTGCCAATCTCCACGCCTTGACCCATGCTGGTTTTCTCTGCCTCGATTGCTCTTCTCACTTCTTTTTCATGAACTCAACCCTAACTTATCCCCAAAGACCTCAGGGCAAGCGACATCTCCCTGACCACTTCCCACCTCCTTCCAAGTGAGTTGTTCGGTGCTCACTCCCCCCCGCTGCCTTTGCCACCCGGCACTATAATTACACTGGGTCGTGAGGAATTTGAGGACAATGACTGTGCCTTTTATTTCTGTGCCTGGGAGTTGTGGCTGAGGTCAACAAGGGAGAGCACAGAGTGTAAAGAGAAGAGGATGTTGGTCAGAACCTGGGTGTGCCACAGACCACAGTGAAGCTGCAGAAAGAGCCATCAGAAGGGTGGAAGGGAGACTCGGAGAGAATGTGTCACAGAAGCCAAAGGCAGGCAGTTACGGCAGGAATGGCCACAATGTCAAATGCTGCTGAAAGGTTAAGGAGGACAAGGTTTAAAACGTGTCCTAGCAGGCCACTGGTCACCTCAGGGACAGCAGTGTAAGTGGAGTAACAAAGACAAAGCAGACTGCAGGGAGCTGGAAAGCAAATGGGAAGTGAAGGATTTGAAGCAGCTGAGGAAATTATATTCTTTTAAGCAACATTGTTGTTTGCTACAACCTGGGTGAAGCTTAAGGACATCATGCTGGGTGGAATGAGCCAGTCACAAAAGGACAAGTACTGTATGATTCCACTCCTGTGAGTCACCTAGAGTAGTCAAATTCATACAGACAGAAGGAGGATCGTTGCCAGGGATGGGGGGCGTGGGAGTGGGGAGTTATTGTCTAAGGGAACAGAGTTTCAGTTTCACAGATGAAAAATGTTCTGTGATGGTTGCACAACAATGTGAATATATTTAATGCCACTGAACAGCACATTGAAAAATGGTTAAAATGGTAAATTTTGTTATGTATATTTTACCACAATTAAAAAAAAATGGATTGCTGTTAAGAGAATAAGATGGAAACTGCTACAGCAGATCATGGGATTGAGAGGGCTTTGGGTTTTTTTTTTTTTTCCTCATCTGCAAGTGAGATTAGATGGTTTATTTTTTTAACAGAGAGGCAAGCAACTTGAGTATGTTGATAAATTGAGAAAAGTGAGTTAGTTAAAAGGGAGACAAAGGGAATAATTTTGGTGTGGAAGCGCTGAGGAGAGTTTGCTGGGGGCCAGAGGTAGGCAGGCTCCTGCCCTGGAGATGAGCTGAGAGAGGAAAAGCTTGTTTGCTGGGGTGGGAAGGATATATAGTGGACAAAATATATAAGCTTCTCTCTGATAGCTTTTGAAGAAGGCAGGGGATGAGATGGGGAAGGGACTTGGCGAGGGTGGTGACGGTCTACAGAGGCTACTTAGGGGACTGGGAGAGGGGTATATGAGGAAAAAGGTGGCCATTCTAACTCATAGAACTGAGGATACTGGGGAGCCGTGGCTGAAGTGGGGCACCACTGGGAAGGAGGGTGATAGAGGGGCTGAGATGCTGGACACTGGGGGGATCCAGGACCAGAATTCTTCACAAGGGCAAAGGGCAGTTGGAGTGGGGAAGGGTGTAGGAAATTGGAAGATGAGGAGGCTGAAGTCAGCAGTGAAACACACAAGTGTAAGGTATCTGAGGTGGGACAGTTCCGGGATTGGCCAGGGTGTAGGTGGCTAAAAAGAGAAATTCAAACAGGAAAGACCCAGCGTCCCATCCACTGGGCATGTCTCTATGTGTTCTTCCTCCTAAAGGTACAGATGATTAAGATGGTCTTTTGTGAATCTATTTCCTTGGATTCAATCTTCTTTTTATTATCTGTTTCTGATTCCAACATTCCATTTTTTTCCTTTAGGAAAGCCCTTATGATCTGGGTACTATCCAGTTATACATCCTCTTTCCCCTACTTTTCTTCTTATATGATATCCAAACTCAGTATTGCCCCTGTTCTACACTAAATCATGGATTGGTAGTCTGCAGAAAACATAAAAGCCCATCAAGAACCATGACGACAGGCAGTGACTCATTTTCCAGGGTCAACATTCTCTAGAGTCAATACCACATGCTAAAAATACTAGTAGAAGATTAATCATCATCATCTATCCAAGTCTTTCAAAGGCTGAGCATGAATATTTTATATTTCTTTGCTTAAATGACCCTGAGTAGGCCAGTAACATAAAGGGGACCTTGGGTTTTAAACTGAAAAGGACCCCAAAGGAAGGAAAGTTATAGAGGAACTTGTCCCTTTTTCCACAGCCTAGCTACCCATGACGAGTGTATTTTTCTTTTCATTTGTCTTGAAAGTGAGGATCCTTCTTGCATAGCATCTTGTCACTCCAAGAAGGACCAGGACAGACCGAGGCAACTGTCCTTTTGGCCTTCTGAGGACTGAACCGTTGCCACAGTCTCAAACAATGTCTCATTAATGTATGCCAACATTGGCTTTCTCTAGTACACTATGACAAAAAACCAAATCACCAACATTTTCAAAATAGATTGGTTCCTCTTTTGTTTGGATTACGTAGAAGAATTTCTGACATTGTGTCTTACCAAACCATTGCAAAATCAGTGAAGCATATCATATGTATCTTTGCACAAGCACGAACTGTACTTTGCCACTTTCAAAACAAACCAACTGAACATCAGGATATGCAGCAGGCGCTATCTCACTGTGGTATCAACACATGATGATTTTGCTTTTAATCTTACCTGTGTGTCCTCTGAATGTTGTGACCAGGGTGCAGTTTTCTTGCTCCAGTTTGAGGATCGTTACTTGGCCTGAGTGGTCACCAATAAACACATGCCGGGTTTCAACATCAAATCTATCATGTAAGCATTAAGGATTGTTTCTCAAAATTGAATGGGCAGAATTTACAATTAAAAAGAGGCATAAGTGTAATAAGAAATGTACAAATCCCATCAGAGGAAAACTTGAAGATAGTGTTGAAAGACATAAAAGAGGACTTAACAAAATTAAGGATATACTGTATTATTGGACAGTAAGATTTAAGATGCTATATTATTGGATGGTAAGACTTAGAGATGTTACTTCTCACTACATTTATTTATAGATTTAAAATAATCTCACTAAAAATATCAACACATGTTGTTTTCTAGAGCTAGGTATGTTCATTCTAAAGCCCACATGGAAAAATAAATAAAGCAAAAGCACCATAAATATTCTGATAATAAGAATAATCTGGTATACATTAGGAGAGGTGAGTTTTACCAGATATTAAAACATGCTATAAAATTTCTTTAATTAGAAGTGTGGTATTGGTGCATAAATAGACTAATGGAACAAAATAGAAAGTCTAAAAACAGGCTCAAAAGCACATAGAAATTATCTGATAAAGGTAGCTTTTAAATGAATATGGAAGATGGATTTTAAAAAAATGATGTTGGCAAAAACTGGATAGCCATTTGGAAAAAAAATAGGATCTGCATCTCACATTGCATACCAAGATAAATTCCAAATGAATTAGGAATCTAAATGTGGAAAATGAAAACGTAAGTTCTAGATAGGAGAGTTTCTGTATAACCTTGCAGTGAGAAAAGCTATGCCTCAAAAACACAAACAACAAATACTGTTAAGCAAAGCCAAAAGACAAATTGAAAAAGTATTTCCACCTACATCACAAAGGGCCCAAATCCCTAATATAAAAAGTGCAATCAAGAATAAAAAGATCACAAACTTAATTTAAAAATGGGCAAGATTTGAATGGAACTATGAATGGATAGTTCAAGAACTTGAAATGAAAATGGTGCTATGCAAAAAAAGAGTTAACATAGCAGACCTGACTGCTATCCTTTGACAGGCTGCTTACAAAGCTGGCATAGTGTCTGGGAACTTGGATTTTGGGAGGGTTCCCACCATTAACTGATAAGAGAGGCTCGCTGTGCCTTAACCACACAAACAACACAGCTTATACTGAATACCTGCTTTCCTTCTGGGAGTCTGGAATTTTGGTACGTGCCAGCTAGAGGCGCCTGTAAAAGCGCCTCCAGTAAAAACCCTAGGCATGGAGTCTACAGAGAGCTTCTCTGGTTAACAATGTCTAGCAATCCTATTTCTAGAGATTTAACCCAGAGGTACACCAGCAAAAATACAAAATGACACAAGCCTGAGGCTATTCACTCCATATTATTTTAATAGCTAAAATTTGACAATAACTCAAAAATCCATCAATAGAGGACTTATTGAATTAGCTATGCTATATCCACACAACAGAATACTACGCAGCTGGGGGAAAAAAAAATGAAGAAGATTTCCATACATTGACATGAATTTTCAGGGTACATTATTAAGTGGGGGGGGGAAGCCAAGGAATATGAGAATTTATAAGTTATATTACCTTTGTATAAGAAAGTGAGGGACATATAAATGTGTGTGTGTGCACCCGTGTGCACAGAGGGATGTACTCATATTTAGAAAAGGAAGCAGTGGAAGGATTAAGATCTAACGAAAGCGGCTGCCCATGGGGGACGGCAAGAATCAAGGTGAGGGATCAGCAATGGAGTGAGACTTCTCTCTTGTTAGAGATCCCATTTTGGAATCCTGTAATAATATTACATATTAAAAAATATGTAAAATTAAAAGAAAAATTCTCCCCAATTGAAAAAGAAGTTAAATAAATGAAACTAACTATAAAATTGGTGATATAACCACATAGTTAGAATTATTTCAAGTGACTTTGAAACACAACATTTTTGAATCTACATCCTTGGTATTCTAAGGACAAAGAGAGCTGCAAAGAAAT